ATGCCGAGCTTTAAACATGCAGCTCTTCTATCTCCATGAATTAATTTATGTAGAGTACATCATATCTTATCTTTGATCAAATCTGAATTTCTGGCTTCAGCTATAGGGTGCAGAGTGGCCTTAGCTACAGCACTGAACCCACAGGACTTTCATTTCATTTGGCCTTGAAGCAGTCTATTTGCTGTAAGTACTCTGAGAATAAATACAATAGGGCAGCCATCTGTTTAGCTCTGTTCTCCTGAGTAATTGTCCTCATATCTACTAACCACAGCACTGTGCCTCCTATTTTCCTCCAGGGTTTGATGGCTTTTGGAATCATGTTGTAGAAATCTGGGTTTGTTCAGCAAAGCTCTTGGATTTGAATCTACAGTGGCTTTAGTAAGTATTCAGGCCCATTCACTTTTACACTTTCTTGTGTCAGGTAAACATGCCAAACAAGTATCTCACTTATAAATAAACACAACTCTTTACAAAAGATAAACATGCAGAGTAAGTGTATGAGTGAATGATAAAGAGCATGTATTTATAGCCTTTGTGGAGGCCTAACCAGGTGCCATCACATTAACACTAACAACCCCCTCCTGTCTGCAGAAGAGGACAGGGTAAATATAGCTGGAATAAAGGGTGAGGTCATAACACAGCATAGAACTGAGTGGGTGTAACAGGTTGCCACTTGTTTTGTATGGGGTTTAATTCACAAATTGTTTTGTTTAGGTTGAATGGAATTGTTCTGGTGCTACTGATAACATCTTAGTTAGAGCAGAACTGCTTATGCTGAACCCTGAGGCTATAGCCATCCCATAGCCAGTAACCTATAGGCTCCGTTCCCATTGTGAGGGTCAGCAAAATGAACTACGAACTAAATGCAAAAGCATGGGCATCTGCAACTCTCATACCTTTCCCAGTAAAGCTCCTGACAGGTGAAAAGAAGAGGCTGCTGGCTCCCTGCTCCATTTTCCACACTGATTGATTTTCCACTAGTCATTCTTGGGCTTTTCTGGCTTTATTGGATGCGGTAGCAAAATGGGCAGCTCACACTGTAAACGAGTTTGGAGTATGCACTGTTTACACTGGAAAAGTGACACAATTATTAATGACTCAAAACAAGCAATTTCCTTCATAAAAATTAAAAACTGAAACCTGTAGTGAGACAGCGCCAAAAAGATTTTGGAAAACAAAAAGTGAGTGTTAAATCCTCCTTTTGCTTCATCTTTGTGAAACTCTATGACAATAGCTTAAATACTGTTGATTTATTGTATACTAATGACAAAAACTGTAAAATATAAAGAGTGCTCTGTAGCACCTAGAGCTAGAATATAACAATAAATTAGAACTTATCTATCAGAGCAAAGCACAAGGCTGTCAACAGCCACCACAGGAGTTAGTTCAGGGGTATTGGATATTGCCCCGTACTGTGGCCCAACCTCACCAGGAGGCTGTAAAACATAAACACGTCATAAAGAGTGATAAAGATACACAGAGAGACAAATTACTGAGGGCACAGACACTTTGTCACCTGCAGTTTGACTATGATCATGTGTGTTGTGCAGCACATTGTCATCAACACTGACCATAATTCTGACAGACTAGACATGATCTTATCCATTTTTGTTTTGTAGTTTTGTCTCTTAACAGTTAATGTCTTGTCATCACTGGTTACTCTCTTGTCATAAAGTAAAAAAAAAAGGTTATTTGAGCTTCAAACTGCACTGATGACCAGCAGCCCCGCACACAACAGAGTGTGGGGCACTGTGTGCTTTGACAATGCCCCTATAACTACTATTAAAATATTCTGCGACTTCTACCACAACAGCCCTACGGTTAGTTCAGACCAGATGGGATAGCTTTTGCTGCCCTAACGTCACCTCACAAGATGACAGCGCCCCCATCCACAGGGCACGGGGGGGTTGCTGAATGGTTTGATGAAAATTATGTGAATTCGCAGTCACCACATCGCAACCCAGTTGAACACCTATGGAAGATTTTGGACTGATGTGTTAGACAGCGTCTCCACCACCATCATCAAAACACCAAATGAGGGAATATCTTGTGGAAGAATGGTGTCCATCCCTCCAGCAGAGTCCAGAGACTTGTAGAATCAACGCCAAGGAGAGCTGAAGCTGTTCTGGTTGCACACGGTGGCCCAACACCTTACTAAGACACTTTATGTTGGCTTTTCTTTTTTTAATTTGTCACCCATATGCATGTTACATAATCTGGAAGGTGAGCTTGGATATTCACTAGTAGGATGTCCAAGGCCACTCCCACACAGCTACATGCCAAAAAAACAAACAGTACACAGTGTAGAGGTTAAGTACTGTATCGCTGAACATAAGCATCTTGATTCAATATGTCACATGTAGACGGGACCAATATATTAAGCATAAACTTTACTGAGCACTTACCCACTCTAGGCACCCTCATTTATAGCAGACCCCTGACCGCTTAGAATATCTTAATGTCCTTGTAGGACATGACCAGTTTTCTGTTCTGTTCTGGACAGCGCTTCAGGTCACCATACACCAAAGCAACCAGACACAAGGACGGTTTCTTCCCCCGGGCCGTCACACTGACGAACAATTAACCCATGACAGCATAACAAAATGTCAACCCTCAGTGCAATAGCTTGTAAATAAACCCTTGTATATATCTTTCTGGAAAACTGCATGTAAACAGTGTGTATATATATACTTCTATATTTATAAGTACTTCTAAGTGTTCAGAACATGGAGCAATCTAGTGTCCTCAGCCACAGTTTATATAATCTGAAAATAAGGCAAAGACATGATTATATTCATATGGCATTCACAATGACACTTGTGTAAACGGATGCTTACAGTGACTCAGCCCACACTCTATAAAGCTTTTCAGCAGTAATGCCAGCAGTAACAACCAGCCAGGTGGTGAGGTAATTTAAGGTGACCATGTTAAGGCTTTGGTGAGCCTCTTTATGATTCATGAGAGCCTCTAAGGACAACATAACTAACCTCTGATGACCCTCACTCTTGACCCTCTCTGGCCTCTGGCGTGCAGCACGCACAGGAGATGAAAACAGTATGAGTTTACTGTCATAAACAACGCAGACTCAGCCAATCCCATTCACGAACAGATGTGTGAAGGAGAAAGCAGTTAGACTGTCAGTCTTCTTCCACGTGAGACACCATGAACCTCCATTCCTATAGGTGTCACTATAGTCGGTCATCCCCCTCCCCCTCACTCTCCTCTACCTCCTCCCATCCACCAAACCTCCGCGAAAGGGTGTGCTTTTTGAAGGTTGTATGAAGCTAAACACTCCTGCAAGGCTTGACAGCCTGGGAGAAGCATCTGAAGCCAGGGAGCAGCGCGCCCCTTAGTCTTCGCCTCTCAGTGCCGAGAACCCGACTGAGGTCTGAGGTCTGAGGTCCTGTCCCCCGCTGGAAGAAAAAATGCCGCGTACACGGACATTTATATAAAAAGTTGAAATGCACAGGTTGCACAGTAAAATGCAATGTGGGATCTGTGTGGTTTCTTTTCAAGGTTAGTACCCGAGCACCGCCGCCTCACAGACCAGCTTCTTGGGCTGTCGGATGGGGGGATGCCGCTCTGTCTCGCTCGCCTCCAGCATCAACAATGACATCTTTCACCGACGAGGACATTGATAGTCACTGACACAGGAACGGACAAACTTGTGAAACACTGGTGTAAAATCCCAAATAGGATACTTTACATGCACTACTGCATGTTCTGGTGTGAAAAGAGACTGTAGTATCTTGGATTTCCTGCTTTTTCCGAGGGCCCGTGTCGGTGTGACACTTCACCTGGCTACAGGCAACAACGCTGAAGACGAGCTAGCTAACGATAATGGATGTTTGGGTCGACCCGACTCTTAAGGTCGAAATGTTAAATGGTTGTATAGTTGGTCAACCCAACAGCACAGAGTTGTAAGTTAACCAACTTCCTTGAACTTGCTGGCTTTTCAAGTGGACTTTTATTAGAAGCTCTCGGGTTTTATCGCCTTTATTGCTGAACAACATGCCTTCGAGGACGGGTTCGCACAGCCCCACCGGCTTCGGTAGGGGTTTACCGGAGCGGGGACTGCTGCTCCTGGCGGTCCTGGTGCTTCTGGAGGGGTCTGTGCTGCCCCTCGGAGCCGCCAGCTCCCCGGATATCAGCCATCAGGCAAATTCGGACAGTCACAAAAAGGCGGACGGAGGGCACAACATCACCAAAAAAGCTTTCCCTGTGCTTAGCCTCGACTACCAGCACATACATATCCCCTTTGAAATTTCATTATGGGTGCTCCTCGCCTCTTTAATGAAACTAGGTGAGTATCATGTGGCTGCCGTTCGTATTATGCCTGTAGCCTGGTTTTGGCGTTTACATTTTCCAGGAAATGCGCTGGGTGTGTCAGGCTGTGTGGCCTGGGCTACAGGTGTAGTCAGCCATCTGGTTTGGTCCAGATGCACTACTACTATCACCTGCATAGCAAAACAAATAAAGGCACAATCTGTGTTATCAGACTGCTCTTTGGCTGAAACTCTGGTGTTAGAGAGAAGCCTGGAATGGAGTACACTGTGTCTGCTGAGCAGATAATGAACAACTTCAGAAGAGAGAAAATCTAAATAACCTGGCATGGCCTACATGTCTTGAGCCACATTACAAGCCTTTTAAAGTACTTTAACATGTAGCTATTGATGGGCTCACAGCAGAAAGATCAAACTATGAGTTTAGAGTTAAGGGGTCATCTTTGGCCACCCTGCCATCAGGGATTCTGTATACCAATCAAAGATGTGCCTAGGATGCTCGCTTCGACTAGAATAGCTCACCTTGGTCCTTGACTAAGGATAAATCCTGATTACTCATCGTATCCGTCAGCTTCATATGGGGAGTATTTTTTTGGCTAGAGATGTATTTCTTGCTACTGTAGTGATGACTAAGCAGCTTGACGCAGCAATCTGGGGATGTTGGAAAGCAACTATATGCCACGTTTTCAACAAAGCAGAACCCCCTGCTGCTCTGGTTTGAGTTGTGAAGACTCATGAGTGGTGTCTCAAAAGTGGCAAGCACATTAATCTCCAATGCACATTAAAAGACTTCTTTCATGCTAGTTGCTTCAGTCTCTTTTACTACCTTCTTCTTTGTGCTCCCCTTGCTCTTTCCAATTCCTCCTCACATTGTGCTTTCCACAGAACACTGCACTGTCCCCTGCTGTCTTTCCGTGAGGGCCAGCAGCTTGTCACTTGCCTGTGATATTAGTGGCCTGACTGAGCACCGGCCTGTAGGCAGGGAGGATACTCCGTCACTGTCTGGGGAGATTCTCTGTGTCTCTGAGGAGGGGGCAGGCAGAGAGGGATCACCAGGCTCTAGTGGCTCACAGATAGGGTGCAGCTCAAGGACATGGAGTAAAAATGAGAGATGATGATGATGAGGAGAAAGGTTGTGTTAAACCATTATCAAGGTTTATGAGGCAGAAAAGAAACGAGAATGGACAAGAGTGCAGGCTCAGAGCGACTGTAGACAGTGGTGACCTTAAGCCTCTGGTTATCCCAGAATGGCTGAAAATCGGCTGCGGCTAATTCAGTGTGGTTGCTGCACCACTCAGCCTTAGCCATGTCTCTGATTCATGTTGATGGATGTAATATTTCACAAGCCTAAAAGCACATCCACAGTCCATTTATGTCAGGCAGCCCTGCCTGTGCTGATAGTGCCTTTCTCATTTTCCACACAAGTGTTTTTCTTGAAATGATTAAACCCAGTGCAGAGATGTACTGTAATGTCACTGAGAATATGTCCTAACAGTTTTAAAATAAGTAGCACAAATCCATATATTCATGACTCACGCTCTTTCAATTAAACTGCAGACCAGCACTGCACAGAAATAACTCTTTATCAGCCTGTGACTCAGAGGCTTCCATTGGTACAGAACTACTCATACAGGTATTCGTTTTTTGGTCTGTGTTTACTGGAAGTGTGTGTTTGAAAGGGTCTATTTAGTTGTAATTAGGGAGAATACATGCTAACAAGCTGTTATCTTAATGACCTTCATGTTGTGTGTGCAATATGTAACATGTCAAAGCACGGCACTACATACACAAGACTTCACCGGCACTTTGGGTGCAGTGGTTCTACTTGTTTATCCTATCAGCAAACATTCACCGGGCACTGATTTTCAGACTGAACTTTGTGAAGTTAGATCTGATAATATTCATTAGTAATACATGAGTGACAGTGGGGCACACCTCATAAATGCCCTGGTGGCTGCGAAGCCGCTTGTTTCTGGTGTTTAATGTGTCTGATAAGTCCAGCTAGTTTCACCTTGCATTTGGGAGATGTACTGAATCCTGATTCTTGTGAAGAAACAGGAGTGGGCATCAGCTAAATATAGTAAAAGAAAATAACCTTTTGTTGTCTTTTAGCTAATTTATGATGGTGATATGATATGAAACCCTTTAAAAAATGGTGAAATAGAAAAACGTTTTGATTGTGAGTACTTTTAGAGAGTGATGTATCAGAGCAGAGCGTTGCATTGATCCAGCACGGCTGGTTGCCAGCTGTGCAAGTTAGTCACCTGGCAACAGACTGCAGCTCCTGGCTATGGAGATGATAATGTATAGCATGTACCCGGCTGTGCTGACACTGGGTACACATACTCATAAGTGAAAGAGCTGTTACGCTTTGCTGGTTGTCATTAGCTTTATGCATAAAGGCTCTAAGGAGGAGGTGGGTTGAAGACAAGCAGAAGATAAGATAAAAAGGTCAAGAAGAAATGCTTGATCTTAGAGTTCAAAGGCCAAGAAGAAATGCTTGATCTTAGAGTTCAGGAATGTAGCATAAAGTCCTTATTTGTATTTTTCATACTGTTGGAATTGTCATACATTAACTTAATGAGCACCAAAGGCCACAGTTAGGTAATGAAGGAGAGATGTAATAATATGGGTGACTGGGTGCTTCAGACTTCCTTCACTGAGTCTTTTGGCTCTAGGTCCTGGATGAGTTGAGAGTTTTTACATTTAGAAGTATCAGTATTGATGCTGAACTGGCTTCTGGTTTCCTCCTGATTGTGCAGCATGCACAGTCATTACTTGTTCCTCTTGGTCACCCATGAATGATAGTGGGTCCATAAAGTGTTATTCTTAGATTCAGTGTTGAGTGTGTGTGCCACTGCTTGAGGCGTCAGCAGTAATACATTTAGTCCTTCCACCCATTACCCGTTTGCCCTTTTGTTGAGGACCACGCTGTCCAACTATTTGTTGAAGATTTTGTGTAGAGACATATTCACATTAGAGCAGACAAATAAAGGTCTTGGGGATTTACTCTGAAACTCCTGGCCACCTTGGCTGGCATTGCTAGAAGATTACTACGTTTCAGAGACTCAGAACAGTGTTTTGCTTGTATTGGTAGAATTTCAGTACATGATTGATGCTAGTCTTGCTGACATATGGTTTTACCAAGTTACACTGAAGGCCCATGTCATGTCACAGTTTCACAGAGTATTTATTTATTTATTTTTTATTTAAAATAGGTCTTTGGTGCCTTCTGATGCTTACAAATGAACAACTACAAGGTTGTATTATGCATTTTGTACCTTATATGACTCTGTGATCTTAAATCAAGTTTTCACAGTGTGTCGTTTGAAGCTATAAACTTTAGAGGTTTTATTTTCTAACATGTATAAATGTCTCGATTAACAGAATTTCAGTAATACAGCAGTTTTTTTTGCTTGTTTGCTAAGAAGGTGGTTCTCAGCAACACAGTAGACCTACCCATACCTTAAAAGATTGGCTTATCAATAGTAAACAGTTGGTAATAAGTAGTCTGTTAATGTGACATTAGTTTATCGCTGTTGACCCTCAAACCACCTGTATAATTATTCTTGGACAGTATGTATGCCTCTTTCTACAGTTACTACTATTTAAAATTGAGTCACCACATTTTATAGATGAAATTGAAATTTGAGGTCGTGTGCCAGGATCAGCTACGCCCTGATTTACAGTATATTATGAATTTGCAGTGTCAGTGTCTGACCACACTATAACAAGGTATATGACTCTCAGTATGTTTAATGATGCTTGTTGTTGTACAGTCCAAAATTACAGGATTTGTCAAACCAGTTAAGACGTATGGGGCCTAATATTGTCCTTACCTGTAATGACTGTGTGCGAAAGGTTCACCATTAGACACAACACCTTTGGAAAAGCCTGAGTCACTGTGTTACTACACACAGCTTATCTTCAGTGTGCTATTTAGTTTGTTATTCAGCACTGATGTTTTCTTAGCAAAGAACATTTTTGAAATGCCCCTAATTGTAGAAATATTTTCCCAGCATTTAATAAGATTGCTCCATATCCAGTCAATATCCATAACATTCATGTAAACGACCATTAAAGCAATAATGACTATTAATTTGCCTGATGGTTTTCATTTTGTGCATGTGTCACGGGGGCAAAAGCAGTAATCATCAGTTTGCTACAGGCTAAGGGCATTTTAGTGATTAGCTGAAATCCAGTGGTTGAGACTATTCCCGCCCAGGTAAAGATGCAAGGAAAAGATGCGAGGATAAACTGCAAAGAGAGAGGAAAGAGGAAATTCGTTCCTACTGACATGAGATGTCCTTTCCTCCAGTCTTTCATGTGCAGCATGTGATTTCAGAAAAAGGAGCATGTCAATCCATAAGAGACTTCCATGAAGGAGGCATTCATGTATCCGTGGTTATTACTCCTCCAGAAAGCCTCCTCCTTCCCCTCTCCTCAGAGCAGCTTGGGACGTCCTTCATCATGGCACACTGGAGTGACTTCTGGGTCGAGCGGGGATTGAGGAACAAAAAAATAAGGGAATTGTGATTCACCTTGTGTTTCAGTTTCATTTTAAAAACGGCTTTATGGGTAGATCAGTGCCTTGGTCTCTCTGTCGTCATAAGAGTAACTGTCTCTTCTAAGATGTTGGCTTTATGAAACAAGGTTATTTCTTACAAAACAACTTCAAAGATGAAACTCTTAGTAGTGTCTACTGGGTTTGTTTGACTTTTAAATTCTACTTTTAGTTTCCTTCTAAAGCCATTTATAAAGATGCTCTGCTTTTTTCATTTAAAACATCAGATCCTGATCAATAGAAGGCACGTGGACAGTGCTGTTTGTAGCAGACATTGGCTACTGGCATTTCACTCAGATGGTAAAGTAGATGTCTTTGTGAATTGTAGTAGGGATCAAATAGAGGTGTTGTAGTTTGTCACAGTCGTTGCCTTATTTTGGAAGCGTCCTTGGAAGGGATCACCTGTGTGCGTCACACGTTGCTTCGGGGATCATACTGAAATATAGCAGCAGCACGACGTTATTAATCATTTAAACCAACACTGAGCTTGCACAAGCAACTTGAGGAGCACAATGGTTTGCATCGAACAATGACTCATAAAAGCTGATCTTTTATGCAGTCTTGTTTTTAGGTGAGACTGCATTACTCTGAACTGCATGTTTTTTGAGCTTCTTGTGAACATCTAAGTGTCTTGGCATTGGAAAGCTGGCCAGTCAGTTTCACATCTTGATTTAAAGGATCAAACGAATGAAGTGTCAGTCACCTTTAACAAAGGCTATTTAAATATTTTGTCTTTTGTGTTTACTTGATCCAGCAGGTTTGGCTGCCACTGGTGTACAGATAGTCACCTGGCAACAGCTCCTGGCTTTGGAAATGATAATGTGTAGCAAGTAGCGTGCTGTGCTGACGCTGGGTACACATGCACACAAGTCAAAGAGCTGGTTTTCAGTAACCTTGTTGTATAACCAAGATGTCCCACTTGATCTTAAAGTTCAAGAATCTGGCATAAAATCAGTTAAGAATACCCTGGAGCTTTTTGTCATTCATTAACTGGATGAGCACTGAAGGGCACAGTTGGGGTAATGCAGAAGAAATTTAAGAATGTGGTAAATGTCACTACTTAGTCTTGGTTGGATACTTCAGGCTTCCTTCACTGAGCCTTTTGGGCCTATGCCCTGGATGAGTTGAGAGTTTTTCCATTTTGAAGGTTTAGTACTGATGCTGAAATGGCTTTTAGGCTTGTCCTGGTCGAGCAACGTGCAGCTTCACTTGTTTCCATCAACTCTTCCATCAACAAAACCGCCAAATGGGTAACAATAGATGGTTTGTGTAACATAGCCACTCCAAGGTGCAAGTACCCTTTGGATGTACTCCCTGTGGGCATTGCTGAAAAGAAGAATGTTGTGTAAAAGTGTCCCTGGAATTATCCATGCACACGCTGTGGGCCATTATAACATGATTGTGGTAAAATAAATCCTGAGCCAATCAGTTCTTAGTAAATACTGCATTGTGCTGCTGTCTTCTTAGGCTGCATCCAGCATTGTGCTGCTGTCTTCTTAGGCTGCCTTCTTGCAGCAGTGGCCCTTACTTTTAGTCTGCTGTTCATGAAGGATGTCTGTTTTTCCTGAGGAGAACATATGGTCCAACCATACAGCTTGATGTCATAGTACATGTGCATTGTGATTGCTCAGAAATGTAGAGCACAAGTCCCTTCAAGTTGTGATTTGTACAAACCGATGCTCTTTCTTAGCAAACCATTTTTTCTTTGGATCCAGTAAGAGCTACTGCCTCGAACAAAACAGGCTGAACTTGTTCGTCTTCCATTAAAGAGAGGTTGAGAAATTTCACAGAAAGCTCCACCATGGGCATCGTTTCTGAGAACAGACTGCCACTGTAATCAGTTTTGTTCAACTGGGAAACACTTAGAAATTAGCTTACTGGAGGTGTGCAGGCCCACCAGTGTGATGATATCCCCCCCCCCCCCCACCCAAAGAGTTTTCTCGTGAGCCATAAGTCCTTGTATGTCTCAAACACGATTAGACACAGCTTCTCAATTATGCAGCCGTGTCTATAGGGGGTTGACATGTTGTGAACATTAATGTGCTAATTTAGTTTTTATTTTGAAGCCTACAATAAACAGACTGATACTTTCTTCTGAAGAAACATTGTCCTTTGAGAAGTCTCAGAACTAGCTGTGGAATTTACGTCCTCTCCCCATATAAGCATCCAGGGTGAGTCACATGAGGTTTCTGTTTACTGTGTTTCACATTGTCTAACCCAAAAGGTTACCAAGTCTTTGTGGAGTTGTGGGTGGCGCCTGTTTCCTAATAAAATTCACTTGAAAAGGTGAGAGAGCCTCAGCTTTGGCATCTCATTTAGGAGTAAATAGGCCTCCTTAGACCAATTAAAGTAAAGGTTTCCTGACTGTGTGTCCTCAGAGTTGCATGGAGCTATATACTCCACAGACTTGCGCTTGCTGAGCTTGTGTGCCAAAACACTAATAGTGTTGTCCTCAAGCCATAAACAACTCTTCCCCCAACTCCAGATGCCTTGTATTCCTGGAGAGGATATCTAATGTTTCCCATACGTTTGGGCCATGTAACATTGGAATGATAAAATTAAATTTAAATATAATTCCAGCTAACATCTTGATTATGAACTGCTCATTAACTTGTAGTGGTAATTCTTGTTGACTGGCCCACTGTGTACATTACATAACAATCTGTGTGATGTGTTAATGAGTGAATATTAATTAGCTGCTCTACCATCCTCATTGTGCAACCATAGGAAAAGTAGAGCAGGCCTGAACCGGTCACCTGCCTGCCCCTCCTCTCTTTGCTCAGGGGGGAACACACCCTGTGCTTATCGTGCAGTGGTGTTGCTCCCACTGCACCATCCACATTCTGGTAGCAAAGAGCTTGAACTTTGCAGCTGGTTCTTATTGATAGTTTAACGTGCTCATGTGGAGGCTTTTATCCAAGATTCTGGATTTGAAATCTGTATGAATGTTACAATTTGAATCTAAAACAAACCAGCTATTTTTTATTAAAAAGCATAAACAGCCTGTTGACATGGCTCAATTGACACATCGATCCCTCTGCTTGTGTCTCAAATAGAAACACTCGCAGACAAAAATGTAAGTTGTATTGTGTGACTCAGGACATTGAATCATTTTGGGCATGAAAGCTCAGAAGGACATTGAATCATTTTGGGCATGAAACATAAAGCAGGTGTCATTTCTCACATGTGTGTCTACCATCATGGATTGTGTTATTCAGCTGATATATTTGTCACACCATAAACCCCCTGTATGATTGTTTAACCCTGTGTGAGCGTCTAGCCTTATCTGGTTCATATTTCTGTGTGTGATTGCGTGCGAGTGTTAATGCACCATGTTGTCAGCTGGTACAGTAAACATAGCCAGGGAAAGTCTTCTCACTATTCACACTGCTGATTCTTTGAAGTCTTCATCCCCTTTTGTTTAGTAGCTAAGCTACAGCTTCACCTCCTGGGTGTATATGTAGCCTTGGCTGTGCTTATGAATTCATGTGACACTTCACAGCAGCTCGGGGTGATTGTATCTCTGGTCCCAAATCAACTTGCGTTTCCTGTGTGGGCCAGACTTTTTAAAGTTACAAAGCTAGGTTTTTCAAGTCAAACAGCCTTTGTTATTTGCCAGACAGTAAGTTGCAGCTTGTAAAGGCGTTAACAGACTTCAGGGACACCCTACAGAGCTGCTTGTGCTGTGATCCTCGTAGCCTCAGGTCAAGGCATATAATTGCAAAAGCTTATTTCAATTGTGGAGCTCAGATGGATTAGTACACAAACAAGAAGACAAATTAAGCTTTTCTTACGACTTAGTTTCTTACCACATTGTTTGCAATTTTCTGCATCGATTGGTCATGAAATGTTTAGTGGGTGTGTTCAATGAAGCCATGAAAGACCATGACTGTTTGTGTTTTATCAGCTTAGAAATATTGTGTTTGTTGACATTTGTGACTTTGGTGAAGATCAGGTCATATTTCATCACAAACCTGTGCAAAACCAGGAAATTGCAAACAGTGCCATTATTTATTTATTTATTTATTTATTGGTGACGGCAGTTTTTTTTTAAAGTATCACCTTGTGAATGTGGGTTCATTGCAAATGTACTTAAATTGCAACCTTGACTTGTTGAACTGTCATGTGACAGCTGTCTACAATAAATGCTTGCTTATTATTTCCATATTTTCCTTCAAGAATTCACAAAGCCATGGTGGTAACACTGGCAGCTACACACCATACCATAGGTTTCTTATGTTCTTGTCCCAGCCTCCATCTTCAAGGCTGCACAAAAGACCTTTTTCATATGTTAACACAAATGCTGAGAATATAAATAGCAGTCCAAATAAGCAGGGCAGGCAGGCTGACATGTCTGCACAGCATAAACAAAAATGTTAGCATTTCCTACAAACATTACCTGTGTAGAATACTGAGTTTTATGCACATTAACATTCATGTAAACAAACTGTACAACAGTGGTTTTTCTCATCAAAGTGTAAAGCAGAAGTTACTATTTGTTGAAAGGGGAGTGCTTGTACTCACAGAAGTGTGGTATGTGTCAGCCAGTTGCTCTAGTAATGTGCTAGTTTCAGTTTGTTTTTACAGTGTTGCCTTTTATAACGTGAGACAGTAGTTTGGAAGAATTCCAGTTGATCTTACCCGCACACACCTTGACTCACTTATCCCTCAGGCAGAGACACATGCTGACCTACAAACAACTAATCCTACAGTGAATTTCTAGATGAGACACATTCTTGTTCTTCATCTCCCTCTGTCAGCGCATAGTATCATTTTCTTCTCCCTCCTTTTTCCCAGGGTTCCACATGATTCCTCGTCTGTCCAGCATTGTGCCAGAAAGCTGCCTGTTGATCGTGGTGGGCCTGCTGGTGGGGGGGCTCATCAAACTAGCTGGAGAGAAGGTCCCACCTGTGCTGAACACCCAATTGTTCTTCCTCATTCTGCTGCCCCCCATCATCCTAGATGCTGGCTACTTCCTGCCTATCCGCCCCTTCATGGAGAACCTGGGCACGATTCTGATGTTTGCTGTTGTGGGGACTCTGTGGAACGCCTTCTTCATCGGCGGCCTGCTGTATGCTGTGACTCAGATCCAGCCAGCCAACCCGTCGGACCTCCACTCCCTAGAGCTCCTGCCTTGCCTGCTGTTTGGCGCCATCATTTCAGCTGTGGATCCTGTTGCTGTGCTTGCTGTGTTTGAGGAGATCCACATCAATGAACTGCTGCACATCCTGGTGTTTGGTGAATCGCTGCTCAATGATGCTGTCACTGTGGTGAGTGACCAAAACAGGAGTGAGGCACAGTGTGGTTGGTACTGTAGCAGACTCTCAGGCTCTCATTTGTTATGAGAGAATTTGGGCTCCAATAAAGGTAGACGGGAAGGTAAAAGCAGACCTGTCAACTTGTACGCATTTTGTTTTTGAAATCAACTAGCATAGCACTTGCCTAGTGAACACTGCGCTAAATACATCTGTCAGTCCCCAGGATATCCCTCATATATGCTCATTCTCTGAAGACCATTGGTTCTAGGTCAAAAGTTCAGCTACAAGCTAGGCTTTGATGCACATCTTATACAAGCCGGATGACATCAGGTCATCACTGGCACAAGCAGCTTTGAGTGCCGGCTCTGGTGACAGCCAGGGCTTATCATCCTAGGAGTGTTTGGCAAGTCCATGGTCAGATGCAGCAAGTGTCTTTTTATTCATTTGGCACAAGCAAAAATTGTTAGATTAACATAATGTGAAAACACTTCCATCATCTTTTACAACAAAGCATGCTTTTTAACATCACTGCAACAGAAAACAGAGACTACATTTGACTTGACTTTGTGACAACGTGACATGTCCTAAGACCTTTACTTGTGATCTGCTGTGACATTTACCCTGTTTTTGTGCTGTGTGTAATCACTCCAGAGGGTAGAACTATTTTCAGAAAGCTTCCATCGTGACTTCTTTGTTCCTCTTGTGAAGAACAAATAGTGCAGGTACATGAAATACACCAGAGTTTTCATTATATTTTCCCAGCATACTTTATGTAGGCTTTTGTTGTCTGTGATATATGTTAATCTGCACCCTGTTGTTTACATTCTAATATTATCTATTCACATTTCCACTATTTCTGTTTTCCCCCCTCTCCTAGGTGCTATACCACCTTTTTGAGGAGTTCTCAAGTGAAGGCACGGTAACTGTGATGGACGGCTTCCTTGGACTCATTTCCTTTCTGGTGGTTGCGTTGGGCGGTGTTCTAGTCGGAGCTATCTATGGGATCCTGGCTGCCTTCACTTCACGCTTCACCTCCCACATGCGTGTCATCGAGCCACTTTTTGTCTTTGTGTACAGCTACATGGCATACCTGTCATCTGAGCTGTTCCACCTCTCTGGCATCATGGCGTAGGTTTGGGGGTGGTAATATACTTAGATACACTTATAGAGACCAAGAGAATAACATAAGGGCATCATCAGTAGCTCATCATGGTAAATGACACTCCATGTAACCAGTGCTGTATGGAATTAATTAGATCACCACCTAAACCATCTTTGAAATTACTGGCATCCCAACATTCTCTGAGGTGCCATGTCTTATCAGTGTTTCCAGTATGTATCGATCCGTTTTCTGGTTACAAAGCCATGAGTTATGGATGCTGCAGACAGGAGGTAATGATATACTAGGTGTCCCCTCTGAGCCAGGGCCAGTGAATGTGTAGCTTCAAGTACAGTCTGTTCTAAAGTCTGTGGCTGTCTTCTTTCACCACACATCAATAACTGGATTTTTCAAGGTGGTTTTTATCAGGCTTTGTTTTTGTCATTGTCCTGAAACCTAGAAAGCCATACTAGGGATGAAATGGTTACCGGTGTCATGGTAAACTGTGGTAAAATTCCGATGGTTAGCATTGCCGCTTCAAATTTTAAATATCATTAAAACTGTGACGCTTACTGAGCAGCTGAAGGGTCAAATACTGTCCAGGATCAACCAAAGTTGGGTAGCGGTTCTTGGACTCTAGTGCAGTATGCAACATGGGTTTGTTTGGGTCAGTGAAAACATGGCAGAATGCAGTGACAGACTGAGTGATCTTTCCATAGTGTGGGCATATTTTGGTTTTTATAAGAGCCCTGACGGAGCCTGTCTGCAAAACATTCAGAAAACAATTGCTGCACTTGAAACAAACTCTTGAAATCTTTTGAGTTATCTTTGTGAAATCACCCTCTACTGTGCCTTTTAGCTCAATGCATGATGTGAGGATGTCAGAATGGGGCAAACAGTTTGTCATTAGGTTTTCAGTGCTACCTACTCTTGTAAAAAGACTTCACAGTGTTCTGTTGCTGTATGTGTCATGTGTCTATTGTCCCACTGCACACAGTAACATGTTACGTAGTGTGGTCACCCAACAAACATATTTTGTTCATTTAAAGTCTGACAGTTTTCATCTTGGTTAAAAAACTCTTCCAATATAAATACTTGAATCAGGGTGAATGGTGAGTAGCTGCTGCGGGTCATAGAACTTAGACGGCGTGCGTTTTGACATAGAAACACCACATGACACGAGAAAGAGAGAGAGAGAGAGAAGTGGTCACCAGACAAAGATGGAGACATCGCTGTTTGTGTCACATGTTTTCATAGATGGTGTGGGACTCTAGCTGAGTAACTGGATCATGCTCTTTGTGGAAAACATACAACTCATGACAAAAGACCACTTCTCCTGAACTGCATTTTCTCTTTAAAGTGTATAGAACAGTTTTACTTGGCTTCATTTTAAATATATATAATTTCACAGGGACAAGACAAACACCTCATATAAACTATGTATGTTTTCTGCAACCACTTACTGTATTTTAGTGGCTTTCAAGTGAGATAATATTTGCCTTTTCTCCTTCCAGGTTAATAGCATGTGGGGCAGTGATGCGGCCTTATGTGGAGGCCAATATATCTCACAAATCTCACACCACTATCAAGTACTTCCTGAAGATGTGGAGCAGCGTTAGCGAGACATTAATCTTCATCTTTCTGGGAGTTGTCACAGTGGACGGGCCTCACTCCTGGAACTGGACCTTCGTCGTTGTAACGGTCATTCTGTGTCTGGTGGCGCGGGTTATAGGTCAGCTCTGCTGCAGTATTTCTCACAACAATTAAATGTACTTGTGCCATGCTGAGATGTGAATTTAAATAACAGTTAACATGTGAAAGGAAGTGTTGTAATTAGTGTGGTTAGTTTATAAAAGATCTTTGAGCTTTTATTGATAAATCTTGACATAAGACAGCCGCTGCTGCAGATTTCTTCTTGAAGTCCTTTTGATTTAACATATTTGACATTTATAGAACTTGCATGCAAATCAAAAAGCACACAAGTAAAGTTGCTTAGTATTTATTTGTAAAGGTGAGAATGAGAATTCTACTATGGTTCACTTTATAGTGACTTTACACAATAACATTTCCCATGTGTGTGAAAAAAGGCATGGCTCTCAAAAAGGGAACTATGAGGAAATGACGAGTAAATGTTGCCGTCATGTTTCATCACACAGCTGCTGGCGTGTAAGAGGAAGGGGCACTGGATTTCCATGTCGACTTTAGGCTGTCACAAGTGCTTTTGTGGATGATTTATTAATCCCCTGAAATATTAATGTTGTTGGAGAGAAACTCAAAAAATGAATGAGATGTGTTCAGTCATGTATTTTTGAATTCTTGTCTTTAACATTTTTTGCCTCAGAAGCTGATGAGGCTTTGCGCAAACTTTCCAAATGCAAATAAGCTTTTTGTGACACACATTCAGCTTGAATCGCATGATACAAAATCTTGTGATAGGAAAGTAATAAATTGTTCTGGTCCTGTCAGTTAAAGAGCCATTTTGATGCTTTAGCAGTTTTTAGAGTTGGCGTTTTAAATAGCAGACTTGGCGAGAAGTGGATTAGTTTATTATTGATTTATGTCAGCAGTGCAGTGCCACCGGAAAATATTTTTCACTGTGAAGAACCAAGCAGGTGTTGAGTCTGTTAGCTGAGTTTCCACTTTGGTAAAAATAAATGAAAGCAGTGGCTGTGAAAGATGAGAAAACCACACTGAAAACTAACATCACAAATACAATCTCAGTTTCTGATTACATTGTCCTTCCCAGGTGTGATTGGTCTGACCTTCGTCATTAACAAGTTCCGCATTGTCAAGTTGACCACCAAGGATCAGTTCATCATAGCCTACGGTGGCCTGCGAGGTGCCATCGCCTTCTCCCTCGGCTTCCTGCTGGAAAAGAACCATTTTCCTAAGAGAGAGATGTTTCTCACTGCCATCATCACTGTTATCTTCTTCACTGTCTTTGTTCAGGTATGTGTACCTACTGTAGGTTTTCTGCTCATTCAGCCTGGCCTGCTGTGTTGTGGCATACTTCAAATATTAGCCTTAACATGGGGTTTTATAATGAGTAACTTCCATCTTTGTTAAATTAAGGGCTGTTGAGACTATACAGTGATTTCTGTGCTTTGACTTTTCACTTGCAGTGAAAACATTTGACATTGTTTGTCCTCTGGTGCACAATTTCATATCGCTGTGTTCTGCATGTTACCCACTCATTTGCATCTGTCATCACCACATACAATAGTTTTGCAAATGTGCTCCTTTATAGACTTCTGTATTTGCCTTTTAAGTGTAGTTTGAACCTTCACATACATCATTGTTTAAATGAAACAAAACCAAAACTGAAGCTAAATGACTCTTTGTTCTTTTAACAGACTCTGATGAAGGCCACAAGCCACATGCATTGGTCTTGCAATAAAGTTGTTCTACACACTGCAAGTGTTGCTGGAGTTTTGACCTTTTCAGATCAGCTAATCCTTACAGAAATATACAGAAAGAATACAAATATAGAGTATATTTCTGTAGAATTTTCTCTGTGTGCCATGAGATGATGTAAGAACCATACATAAAGGAAAGACAAAGACACACTGGCAGTGATCGTGTACAGGTTATGTCCATTTTAAGAACTATTCACTGCAACCTCCCAGGCCTTGCAGATAAATTAGTCTGCCAGTGAAACTGTAGGAACTTGAACTTGAATTTGGCTCAAACTGGCAGTAACTAAAATAAAACCCCGAAGGCATGTTCTCTTTCCTCAGGGGCTGGATTAGAAACATGTTTTATTCAGGCTGCTGGATTCAGCAGTGGCTGGTCTGATGCTGAGAGATATACAGTCCAGGAGGTAGAAGGTAATTTGGCCCCTCTCACCTGCACTGTGGAGTTGATTCAAAGTATGACTCGATGTAAGTAAGACAGGGGTTGTATTGTTGAATGTCTGCTTAAGTGTCATTGGCTATTGTTACCAGTGTAGGATCAGACAGTTTATTTATTGACATTTGTCTGCTGAGTAAGATTAGGTTGGTAAGAGATTTATCGGGTTGGTACTGTAATTTGGTTTACTGTCCAAGCCCAGAGGAGCTATTGTGTCGTTACTGTATTTATGTGGACCAGATATCTTCACAACCATATAAAGGTCTAAACTTTCGTAAGAGTCTAGCTTTTCCCTGCAAGGAAATTGAGGGAGGGACTACGGTTGATTCTGTTTTCTTACTGGTTGTAATGGATAATAGTGGTTGACGTTTGACTAGAAGTAATGTACTGTGACAGTTTCTAAACTGCACCGGTTAGCCTTCAACATTTGGAATAACCATGAAATGGTGACTTTCCACTGTCTAGGGTAAAGTAATAGATGTTGTCACTGAATATCCATACATCTTATTTTGTGTGGTTTACTTGGAACGAGCATGAAGTGACAGGTTCCTTTGCATGCTTGCCTTCTCACAGTAAACAATATTATTCAAGACCAGGAATCCTCTACGTATCATTCACTTTAGGTCATTACACTTAACCAGATGGCCAGATTGATCTGTTTTAGAAGGGGGGATGATGCACTCAAGCCTTTAGGTTGCAGACAGGAACAAACACACACACACATACACACAGCTGGTTATAATCTATCAGTAGACAAGTGTTTGATTTTGGATTTCTGGGGCCATTAGTCCAGTTGCTAACTAACTAAAAATTGACAGTGTGATTACAAATGAAGGCATTTCTCGTAAAGTTACACCCCAGTTAAGAGGGAGACATATTTTTAAGCTATGTGGAAAAAAAAAAAGTTTAAAATCTAAGTGTTGGTGTCCAAATTAAAAAGAGAACTGTCATATGTTGTAACTCTTTGTCTGAACTGTTTGTATATGAACTTGACAGGTTTAACAAACACATCAACTTCTGCTTTACAGCCACATCCACAAGGGCAAACACTCAGTGAAGGTGCTTTTAAACAGGGTTGTTTTTGTTCATGTATGCACTTGAAATGTGTGTTGAGAATAATTATCACAGTGATCCACACTTAAAAAGAATGCTTTGCCTTACTCTCATTGAAAAGGGACTTATTTGTCTCTTAGGCTGGATTGGTTCTTGCGAGAAACACCTCTTTGCCTGACATACCCATTATCCACTTATATACGAATGTCTGTCTAGGGAACAGCATTGGAAACAAAAAATAATTTGTTGTATTATTCACAACAAGAAGGATTTTAGTGCGTTTATGTTTCCAGGGTGAGGATTTTAAGATGTGTTAAAGATGCTGATGTTTAAAAGTGGAATCTAACTTCCCACGTTGTCATCTAAAATGGCAGAGTTGTGAAAGGTCGTGTGAAAACCCACTGTTTTTGTTAGGCACCTGCTGCAAAATGTCCCGCTTAGTGAACGTGATACTGCTGAGCTTGTGTCCGACGTGGCAGCTCTGTGTTCAGTGGCCTTTTTAATAAATCGAGAAATGTGGGACTGGATTCCCTGATGTCGCATGGTTCATGTTATAATTTACAGAACAATCACAAAGCCATTACAGAGTTTAGTAGTAAACTGGGTAATAAGAGGCTGTTTGTGTCTTTAGCTAAGGTCAGGAGGTGTTTAATGTTGCGCTCCTCTCATCCTTCTTACAGGGCATGACCATCAAACCCCTGGTGGAGCTGCTGGCAGTGAAGAAGAAACAGGAGGCCAAGCGCTCCATTAACGAGGAGATCCACACTCAGGTACAATGCTTCCCCTACAGATCGTCTTCAGAATCTGATGGTTTCATGGTGGTTTATTCATATGAATCATCCAGAATGTCTCTGTATGCAGCTAATGCGATAATGGTTTGAAGTGTGTTAACTCACAGGACATCCTCTTTTACGTATGCAGCTGATGTCAGAATGGTTTGAAGTGTTAACTCACAGGACATCCTCTTTTATAAATTGATGACGTCATAGGAAATATCAACAAATTCATCAACTTCCTGTTCCACCGATCTGCCTTTGCTACGCTTCGTCAGCACACTGACAGATCCAGAAATACTGATGCTACTAACAACACTATGATTTAACAGAAGACGCTAGATTGAAAAATGCAGAGCAGTTACACAAACAATAAAATGTTGATATTTCTCTTGTTTTTTGTTGCTAGTATACTGTGCATTGCTGTCAGGGGCGGTTATGAAAAACAACATCATTGTGTAGTAAGAAGCCTCTGAAGCCATTTAATTGAACAATTTCTGCTTCCACCTACTGGCTATGTGGTGGTACTGCATCTCATATACTTTACACTGTAAAGTGTACAGTGTACTGGTGCTCTGTTTCATTATGAGTTAGAACAGTTTTGTTTCTCAGTTCTTTAACAGCAGCATTTCTTAGCAGATAGTTAAATACAACTTGAACCCACTGTCTCACACAAAGAGCTGCTTCTGTCCACAGTAGTGCTGGTAGTCAGACACATCCTTACATCACCACCAAGGGCTACACTCAGCTGTTTTTAAGCTGTTAATACAGCTCAGATAAGTACATGTACAGTATGCGCACACACAGGGCCCTCTCTGGGGCTTTGAGGTGAGTCACTAGTGCTTGACGCTGCTGTTTCTGTTCCACTGTAAAACCCCAGTGATCAGAGTCAGCAGAGCTGGCTGAGGACACAGTTGGACTGGGCTACAGAACAACCAATGGAGAGCTGGACAGAGAATCCAAATGAAGTGTTCAGCTTTTTGGTGTGAAAGCTGGTAGTTAGGTGACATACTGGATGCTGCATATGCTTTCAAGCATCTTTCAGAGATTATACTTGCTCTTTTTGTAATTGTGATAGCAGTTGAACAATGACACACTATACTGTACACTTATACTCTATGTTAATATGAACAATGACTCCCAAAGGACCACCGAATCACAGTGCAGGCAATTTTATGCTGTACCTGTTACATTGCATGATATGGTTCATCTCATTGTTGTTGCAAATGAGAAGGAAACCTGTAAGATAAGAAGATGCTGATTATAAAAACACAGTAATCATTTGTAATCTTTAGTGCAGCTGCTGTTCATTTTGTGCCTTTTAATGAGCCTGTTTCAGCCCCACCCCCACAGTGCCAGGCAGGCTTTATATAAATCTGTCACTTCTGACAAAGCAATAGTAAGTTCTTTGGCTCTGCTTAATGACTTGTTCCCATGGCAACACTGTCTGTTGGACTGGCATCTGCAGGCTGTCTCGTCTGACCCCACGCCTGGCTGCAGCCTGAGCAACAAATGTAATGGTACATTTCTGTGGCTCTATGAGCAGGCGTGCTGCCACTGTTAATAAACACTGGCTAATCAATCATCCAGCTGCTGATTTTGGCAGCTGTACCTGGGAGGGCGTCTTAATAGCAATGGTGAAGCAAAAGATGGATGCAGATGACGTGAGTGGTACCAGAGTGCCTGTGATCACAGTTGAGAACATTGTTAACCATAAATTATTGTTTATTTACCAAAGAGTTTTGCACATTTACCCTCCAAGTGGAATGTTAGACAGTAAAAAATGAAATCCATTTCTGATCAATTAAATTGCTCTACATGAGGTTGTCCCCTCCTTGAACCGCCACCTTATTGTGGTGGAGGGGTTTGAGTACCCGAGTGATCCTAGGAGCTATGTTGTCGGGGGCTATATGTCCCTGGTAGGGTCTCCCAAGGCAAACAGGTCCTGGGTGACAGGTTAGACTAAGAGCGGTTCAAAACCCCCTTATGAATCGAGTTAGACCAAAGACCGTGACGTCGCCCGGCATGGCGCAGCCGGGGCCCCACCCTGGAGCCAGGCCCGGGGTTGGGGCTCGAATGCGAGCGGCCAGGCCCTGGCAAGTCTTTAGATATAGGTTTGTTTGTAGGCACATGACATTTTTTGTAGGTCTGTTTTCCCTCTGTTGAACATCTTTTAAAGATGATTTTCTGTTTTTCTTTTACACTTAGTTCCTGGACCACCTACTGACTGGCATCGAAGACATCTGTGGACACTATGGTCATCATCACTGGAAGGACAAGTATGGGTTGTACAGTGAATAGACATTGCAACATGTAGTCATCAGAGAACTTATTCTGCATTATGTTCATTAGTCAGTAATCATTTTGCTATAAAATGTCAAAAAAATACTACGTATGGTCTTGAATAATATCCTTTCCTGTGAGAAGGCAAATGCTCATCACAAAAAACCGAAGCGATACATTTTATTATGTCAAAATAAGAAAAACAAGCTATTTTATTCAGATGATGGCTTATATTATTAAATAACTGATTCATTTTCTGTCCTAATCAGCAAATTATTTTAGCTCTAGAGAGAATATGTATTAACTGTGGATATAAATGTGAAATTATTGCTTCATGTAATCTTGTTTTCCTCTAACACACACTCTCTGACCAACCTCTCTCTGTTCAGTTTATTCCCCCCATGTCTCTCTCTTATTATCGGTCTCTATTTTCATCTCTCACTCATTTCCTCCTTTTAGACTGAATCGCTTCAACAAGAAGTATGTGAAGAAGTGCCTGATTGCAGGTGAACGCTCAAAGGAGCCACAGCTCATTGCCTTCTACCACAAAATGGAGATGAAACAGGCCATTGAGTTGGTGGAGAGTGGAGGGGGAGCCAAGCTTCCTTCTTCTATGCCTTCCACTGTGTCCATGCAGTGAGTACTGAGTGTCAGGGAAAACTACATGACAGTGTGAAAGTGGTCACTCAGTGTGATGAACCTCTAGAGAATTATCACCTGAGTCTGCAGGTTTCTGTGACTTTATGAAGGTGCATAGCAGGTTTTAGCTAATTGTTTAGCTCTCCTGCCACCATGTTAAGATTTTAATTCCATCTCACCACTTTCACAGCCTTGTTTTCAACTGTATTATTGAGCTGGTTTCAGAGAAAAGCTCTAAAAACCCACTCCACTATACCTGTTTAGCATCAAACAGCAGCATTAAGTACAAAACTAATGTTAGTTATAGCATTTATAGGTCAAGTCTTTTTTCTCATTTCTTTATTTGTATAGCGGTGGAAAGTTATGCTATGTTTCCTGATAAAGGGGAGCATGTACAGAGTGAAGGGAATTGGACCTAACACAGAATATCAGACTATGTCAAGTGTCCTGAGATGACCTTTGTTGTGATTTGTGATTAGTTATAACCCTGTCAGAGATTTGATTATTACAACAGATAGTTGTGTGTTTTCACAAAAGCAAACATGACAAACTTGATGTGTCAGCAGATTTACTGGTCTGAAATACATCAACTCCCACATTGTCTCCTGTATACTTCTCAGGAACATCCAGCCCAAGAAACCTCCTCCTGCCAAGTCTGCAGACAGAACTCTGCTACAGATACCTAAAGGCCGAGAAGAGGAGATCAGGAAGATCCTCAGGAGTAACCTCCAGAGGACACGCCAGAGGGTAACGCTGTTGCCATATGAGTAGTTAGATTAGTACATATTTTCTAATTCATATATTCAGAGTTAAAGACATATTGTCTTGTATTACCTGCAGTTTAGAGTTCATCATATCACAAGTCATATTGGTTTGTATAGATAAACAAAGTACCCCAGCTTGATTGTTTTAAGTGAACGCACGTTTCATGCATTCACACTGGTTAACAGCCAGTGAGAAGAATTACCACTGTAGTAGTCCCAGCTCTCTTCATATAAAGTTCCACACAATCTAATTCTTATTGTCTTTATGTTTTTATGCAGGTATTTGAGAGAAATGGAAACAAATAGTACCAAAATGTTTTTGTCATTTACTTCAACTTTTAATTGAAATGCATCTTTTCTTTCTCAGCTGCACTCCTACAACAGACACACTCTGGTGGCTGATCCATATGAGGATGGGTTTAGTGACATTATTAAGAAGCGAAGGCTGATGGAGCTGGAGAAGAAGGTACAGTTATCAGTCTCAGTGAGGGCAGCAACTGTAAAATCAAGAATCACCTGTGTTTTGTCGTGTCACAGACACCTGGACACAGTGACTGAACCAAGCACATTTTGTTGATTAGTCAGCACTAAAGTGGCTACTGACAATCTGGTACATTACAGATCCACTTTTTTTGGCCCCGATACTGATCTGATTCCTTTCCAGGTTAGACATTCCTGTTTGACAGTTTAATAACGCTGCATTAACGAAAGGTGGCAGCTGTCGCAGCACCACTTGACAAAAGCATAAAACTTAGCGTGTCTACACTGAAAGCACAGAGTGTGCAGCATGTAACTGTTCACGTGCACATCGCGGGAGGCTCGTACTCATCTCTATACAAAAACACACAGAGGAGCCTACAGAAACACTTTGTTAAAAGGAGCACTATGGTCCAAAACCTACAGGCTAGTTCACAGGCTTATTCAGTGTGAACAAGACAACCTCTCAGACTTAAACGGTCTCGGAGCAGCAAGCGACTCACTGACATCGGAGCAATTACAATAAAATACAAGTTTAAAGGAAACAGACAGCACTGAGAGATTGATGGAGCCCTTTGACCTGTGCCAAACTGTTTTTAATCAAACAGTACCATTTCAAAAAAACTGGTCCAAAAAATTAACTTGAAGCTAAAAAATAGTCTTTAGGTTGCAGTTACCTGCTGTAAAGCAGGAAAGATATGCCAGGCAGTGTAGACAGCTGGTCTGACTATTCTGGCTGATACCGATCCTGTGAAATATGCCCAGGTTGGCGCCAATACAGATACTTAATATTGGATCGGTACATCTCTGTTACAAAGCTTTTTAGCATAATACAGGTAGAAGCTGTGTTACAGAAAGCAGCCTGTGGTAAATCAGGAGAAACACAGTAGACCTGACAAAACCAGCAGATGAAAAGCCCTTCTTGTTTCATACTGGGCCACCACCAGTTAAATGATTCAGCCAAAACTATGATATGTGTTCTAATTAGAGTTCACCTCAGGTCTCCTAAATTAATTTTCTTGACACAAATGAGGGCTGATTTATTTGCACAGTTGAATGGCCCTACCACAACTTGCATTTCACCATCCTGTAATTATATAATGAAAATAGACTCTTGTTCAGGGTAAATCAAATGTGCCACCCTAGACTCGAGGATTTCTTCCGAGGCTAGCTAAGCAACTTCATTTTAGTGAAGTTCCTCAGAGATATTGAGTAAATTACTGAACTATGTTAGTTTGGCTGCTGTACTTCCCTGATGTTGAAATGAGGCCAAAAACATATTTGTTATAATTTCACCTAAGCTTTGTATATTAGTGATAGTACATATTTATGGAAGTTAGATTATATAATGATTCCATGCTGGAGGCTAAATTATTCCATAAATATTCCTGTGTTTTCCTAGATAAAAGAGATGAGTAACTACTTGACGGTGCCTGCTGCTGCTTCTGACTCTCCGACTATGCATCGAGCCAGACTGTCCTCAGGTAAACACGTCCAGTTTAGCCACAGCCAAATGCAAACGTTCACTTGAAACACTTGAAAATATTAACATGCCACTAAGGCATCGGGGATGTTAGGCTCACAAGGCAGCATTCACAAAACCATTCACAGCTGCAGCAACAGATATTTCCTCACTGATGCAAACACATTTGCATGTGCCAGCCGGCTTGTAAACCGGTGTGTGGTTTCATTTTAGGCAGAGATACTGATTTCAAACCTGCTCAGCAGCAGAAAGGAAACAAAAGTTGTCCAGGTATGTGGTGAATGTAGAGAAGACTCATTTTTAGCAGTGACAACCCAACAGCACTCCTAACATGCATGCTCGAACTATCCTGCTTGTTAACATTCATCAATTATTCATTACTAATGAGGTGATGCCATGACATGATTGACAAGGCTGCGTACGGGTTGGGGGCCTCAGTTTGAGTTTTTCATTGTATGTTTTAATTAAAAGTGGAATTATTTCAGCATGTTTTGCATTACAAATTATTGTCTCATTTTATTTTTGCTGTTTTATGAAATTTTAGAAAGGTCTTAAATCCTGCTGTTGTGTAGTTTGTGCAGTGACTGTACATAGGTAGCCTTGTTGACCTTAATATTTCTTTATCACATTGTCCTCTCTATTTGTGCCATATGTTCATGCACACTGATGGAATGACAGAATGATGTTAGATCCCTTTTTAAAGCTAATTCCCCGATAATGGTACCCTTCTCCTGCCTACGTGTAGACCCACAAAGCTACGGTGTGAAGCCAGCGACAGACAATGTACCGACCATCCAGGTGGACCTGGCATCTCCTCAGTCTCCAGACTCTGTCAATGTGATGGATGAGTTTGGCCGAGGCGACCAGGAGGAGGACCAGGGCCTGATGATGAAGCCTCCCTCTGGGCATAAAAAGCCAGGTGAGGCAGAAGGAGCCAGAGAACAGCAGAAGCTTACAAGGTGCCTGAGCGACCCTGGTCCCGGCGGGGATGAGGACGAGGACGAACCCTTCCTGCCTTAATACGGCAGATCTGATGTGGAGGGGTCAGGCCGCTTGCCCGTCTGCACTGGTTAGGAGAGAGGGTGCTGTGCTGTGCTCTAAATGATCTCTTTGGTTCAGAAACCAACCAAGCCAAAACTGTTAATGCTGTATACCTATAAACAAAAAGGAAACTGACTGCCTGGGAAGGAAAAAAGAGCCATTAGTTTATTTCATTGCTTTTATGTTTTTTACAAGGCATTGGAGCAGCAATCGCTGCTGTCTGAGAGATATTGGTCTATAAGCTCAGTAGTTAGACGTTCAGGAAAGAACTATGCATTACCAAAGGTCCAAGATGTTTTGGTGTCAGGTAGTGTCATTTTTACTTTAGTGTCAGATGTTTTTCTTAATGATTGCAGGGTTGTTTATTTTATATTTGTTTCTTATTTTACAACTTTTCTGTCTTTAAAGCAGTGTTCTCTGAGACATGCTGGGCCTCGACAGTAGTCCGAAGTGTAATCACCAGGGCAAACGTTGGCACTTTTCATTCTGTCACTTGAGATAGCTGGGTATCCAAACATTTAGTGTAGCTCCACTAGTTGAAAGTATTTAGCCTTATTTATGTCAAATCTTGTCACTTGCTGCATTTTTAACTCTTCTTTTTAATGCATTTTGATTTCAGGGGTAATGGGTTTTGGTTGTGGTGTTTATGGGATGTAGGTTAAAGCTGGATGCATTTAGTCTCTGTAAAAGAGCTACAGTTGTTTCTAATCGTGCTTACAGACTCACAGCCTTGACCTGTGGCTGTGGAGGGAGCTGTGTGGATTTGAAAAACTCCTCACTGTTGATTAAAGAGTTTTTGATCCATACATGTGGAGTGAAGCTGGGTGTGTGGGAACCTTATGAGACAGGCAGTGATGCAGCACAGATGTTTTGATGTCAGCCATCATGCATGATTCCCCTTCCAAGTCTTCTGGAGTTAAATCACCTCATGTCATGTCACATTTCTTTGTAGATATTTAATGTTTTACACTTGTTAAAGCTCAGTCACGGTGGAGTGGAGTTGTTCGTTGTCTTCCGTCATAAGTAGTGAACAAGTGCCCGTCACAACACTCATCATCTTCACACTGCTCTTGTTTCAAACTTTTAGACCACATGACCTCATTTTTAATTTATCAGATATACTGTAAATACCTGCATTGTTCATTTTTACAAGAACTATTTGTGCCCTGCATTACTCCTTAGCAAGGTAGAGAACACGACAAGAGAAGGTCCATTGGTACATGAATTGATCCTCTTCTCTTAACCTTCTGGAAATCTAAGACTGGAAGCATGTCCTGGCAAAAAAAAAAAAAAAAATTCTATGCAGTATGGGTCTGTAAGATATGTACATTAATCATAATATCCTATATTTATGAATACCCTTTAAAACTGAAGTCTTAATTAAGTTAAACATGTAAAACAACGAGGCGAACCAGTGCTAATGTCACTGCTGAAATCAAACGTGGGCATTAAAATATACAGTCAAAATTATTTGTTCTAATTTTTTGCACATCTTGTGTGAGACTTGAGTGAGTTAGCTACAGGCATGACAACATAGTCCAGAGTTTCTATTCATTCTCTCCTGTGCTGTATTGTACAGTGTGCATGGTAGCCAGTATAAAGTACATTGCATGTCTCTTTTCAGAAGCCGCTCAGTGACTTGGAATATAGCATTTAAATTGTTGATTGTCTCGCAAAGTGCCGCACATCGACATAACAGTTAAAACCCATGAGTGTGTCTTTCACCCGTGTTTAACATCACATGACTTCACTGGCCGTTCCGTCATAGCTAACATCCACAGAGCGAAGTTTGTCTCTGAAACACAGTCTGCCTTGAGTGAATCACTTCCCGGGATGTTTTCTAGGTGTTAGTGAATCCTTCCTGATCCTCTTACTGGGAGGGCGCGCGTTGCCGTTGAGGGCAAAAAGCTGACGATCCTGTCAGCCTCGTTCTTTCTTTTTATAGCCTCTGTGTCACATAGTGTGGGTGATAGGACATTTTGTGTGCACACATGCACCTGCACTATGGTAGAGTGTTTTCACTTAGTGTTAATTTTTTTTTTTGTTCATTGTGTTTTTTGCCCCTGACACTTTTATTAACACAGTTTTAATTGCAGAAAAGAGTGTTGATGGGTCAAACCTTAAAGGATCTAATTACCATGTCTTGACTGAGTTGAATTTCTGATAAAATGTGTATGCGTGTGTAAGACAGTGTCGTAAGCGAGGAGTGTGCTGACAGTGTCAAAAGGGACGGGGTCAAACTGAGACAGGTTGTTAAAAAATTTGCACGCAGCATTAAATGTATTCTAAAATCGGTAAAAACTGTGGAAAGAAGCCCTGAGACATGTTTCTCTCCGTTTTCCAGATGCTCTATGGCTTGGTCGACATTTAAAGGCGATGTTAGGCGCTGTATTTTCATATCAAAATGGAAACCACAGTTACCTTTGCTTGCAAATGTGATTAAAATAAAGGAGGAAAAAACAATGATTTAAATTAAAACGATGCATAAAACAGCCGCCCTATATCCCTGGCTACATCATATTATTCCAAAGACTTTTCATTTTTCAAAAAGAAACTATTTTCATACTTTTCTGTTTCATAATAAATGCAACTTTGTGGGGCAAACATTCTCACACTTCTTGGAGGGAAATGTTTGGTGCAGAAAATAACCTTAATCTGAAGCCATACAGCCTATAGAAGAACCTGTGCAGCTCTCTTTATTTGCCTTTGTTTCTCTCAATGCACAAAGCAAACAAAACCTTTACATTCGAGTCACTCGTGTCTTCTTTGGCTGTCGTTTTAAATGTGCGCTTTTTGTTCTCAGTTTAAATTTTCCACACTGGATGTTTTTCTATGGGGTGAGTGATGATAAGTTGTGGACTGTTTGGGACTGAGTTACAATGTCAACACTGTTGCCACAGCAGCATTCGGCTTTGTGGTCTTTGTTCTTTACATCTCTGTGTGTGTTAAAATCCTTCGTGTGTTCAGTTGCTTTATTGTACAAAGTTTTTTTTTTTTTTGTTTGTTTGTTTTTTAATTGGCTGTACAGGGATATCCAAATCCCTTGTTGTTAATGTCAAGAGCTTTATCTGGATTCATGTGCATTACATTACTCCATGTGCTTTACAGATGTTTTTAGGCTTCACTGTGGGTTTTTCCATTGTATGTTTACCTTCATAAGCATCTCACTCTAAGTTTAAACTGGACCAAGTTCTTGCTCCACAAAGCAATGAGCTGAATTTATAGCCATATACTGGCTTATCAGATTCACTGCTCCTAAATTTAGTTTCACTGGGGAGAAGTGATGTGAAGGCATCAATTACAATCAGCCTCACAAGCTGACAAGTTGCTTTTTACCTTAATGCCATGCTGGTGTTTTTTTGCATGTTTTTGATTTTTCTTCAGTCCAGGCTGCCATCAGTCTCCATTCTTCCCCTACAACATAAACCTCTCTTTTGTAATTCAAGTTTTTAATTAGGCTTTCCCCAAGATGTAACATGCAACATGCTGTGTGTGTAAAGAGTCGGGACTTGCTTCAGATTCCATCACCATTAACATCAGGTTTAAAGTCAGGTGCAGTTTTCTAGTAGTAATTATTTTAGCTGTGTAGTAATTAATCAACTTGCAACTGCAGTGCCATGCAGCACTATGATGCATATATACTAATGGCTGTCCCTGGATTTTCACTATATGAGCTAAAACATGCAAAAGCACTAGTATGTTCCTTTAGTATTTTAACATGAGATCAGTCCAACATCTGTAGAAGAAAACTGTCATTTATAAAGGCTGTAATCACAGTGTGATGCACATTTGTGCGTCAGTAACATAATGACCCCGTAGCATCATTATTCACCCACCCAAAGACAGTTTTCCTCCCTTGTTTCTCCTTGCATTTGCCTAATCCTGCTCCTTGTGTACTCTTTTTACACTACACCAAGCACTTTAACAAGGTAGTACCTTTATATCACACCCCAACATGAGAGAGAGCAATAAGTGGTCTTAATGTAGAGTGTGCGGTGTTATCAGGTGACACATCACAGGGAAAAGGATTGTACTTTATAACGGACCTTATAAACAGGGGTGGGTTTGGTGTTTTTAGTCCTAAAACAGATGTTGGGATCTTAAATCTTAGTCAATGCTGTGCTTTGACATGACAGCAGAGCGGTTTATAGTTCCCTTTTATCATGTATATTTGGTTTGGATAATCATCATGTATTTTTAATTTATGTCAGTCCATTATTTACTGTTTTGCAAATGTATATTTTGCAAGAAATCAGAGTTTATTTTCTATACACATGAAGAGAAATATATGCATAAAAGGAAGAACGCATATTGGGAATTTATTATGTTGTACAAATCAGAATCTGAAAGACAGCAGGTGTGCACTTTCTTGTTGATTAATCTTTAGCTTTCAGCATCCCATCCCTGTACTGACCAGTGAAACTACCAACCAGAGATGAAACTATAAACCAAAATAAAGTTTTTCTTTATAGCAGTACTGTGTCCATGTGTCACGATTTGTGAAAAATCTGTTTTGTTTATTTTTGTTTATTTGTTAGGAATACATCTTTAAATGTACACTCTTAAAGGAATACATTTTGGGAAATATCTTCTTAGAAGATTTATACTACTTTGTACAGAGCTAAGCTAAGCTAAGCACCTGCTTAGCTTTAACATCAGGTTTAAAGTCAGGTACAGTTTTCTAGTAGTAATTATTTTAGCTGTGTAGTAATTAATCAACTTGCAACTGCAGTGCCATGCAGCACTATGATGCATATATACTAATGGCTGTCCCTGGATTTTCACTATATGAGCTAAAACATGCAAAAGCATTAGTATCTGTATAAACAGTATAAATAAAGCACTAGTAAGCTAAGCACCTACTTAGCTTAGCATGGGGGCTTGAAAATGGGGAAGCAGCTAGCTTGTCTCTGTCCATGGGTGACAAAACCCACTTAAAAGTATCAAGAAAGCTCACCAAAGTATATCAGTTTGGGCAGAAGCAGCAGCTGAAGCAGAATTTAACTAATTTAAATACTTTACATACTGTATTTATTTGTTTGTACTGTGGATAGTCTGCAGGGTACTATTTACAGCTGTTAAGCAAATTTAATGTTGCTGGCAGCAATGGAGCTAAGTTTACCCATCTTAACTACTCTTAGGTTGTTTAGTTTACCGTCTAACAATGCATCCTATTATGTATCCTTTTCACTGTAGTCAGATAACTAGTGAGGAACAAGATGTCTCTTTGAAATGTAGTGAAGTCGAAGTATAAAGTTCCACAAACTGAAAAGTATAAGTATTTGACATAAGTACAATGTGCTCACTGGCTGGTGTGTCCTTGACCAACACCCTGAATACCTTAGCGTTGCCATTATCGTACCATATGAGAAAGGGCCGAGAAGAAGAAGAACTTCTCTGCAAGAGTAACATGGTTTGACTGAACCTTTTCTGCTGGGAGTGCTGCAAAGTGTAAATAAATTAAAATCAGCTGGCATTCGGCATAGACACCACAGAATGAGTCCCAAAAGTGAAGTGTAAGGGGGGTGAGTTAGATATATATGGAAGACATTTTATAATTGGATACTTTGCTGAGTCTTATAATCTCAGGATGAACTGTTTACTTTGTTAAAGTGTAACGGTGCTGCTCAGCCTGGCTGTGGTGCAGAGTGTGAGATATCCAGAGAGAAAACTCTGGCTGAGACAGTTTGTTTATTTCACTTCTGCTTCTGTTCAACAGAAAATCACAATGACTTGTGTACTCATTAACCACCTGACAAACACATTCACTGGGAAATATTTTTGGAATGGATATGCTCTGTTTATAATGTTCACTTATTTTAATTGTTGGCAGTTGTTGCATTCTATCATTTTTCGCGGAGCCTCTGGTTGGCCAAGTTCATTTTACATCTGAAGAGTCTAATTTCAGACTGATTACTGGAATTGTTGTTGGCAGACAAATCCTCTTTATATTTGAATTTGTAAGCATTTAGTGGATATTGATCCAGGGGAATACAATAAAATAAGCCTAAATCCCCCAGATTGCTGATATTACAAGCGAACAATGGTTTGCCCCATCTGGATATAACAGCAACATGTTTATTATGTCCTCAAATACCATCACTTTTATTTTCATGCAGCTTGATTAACATTACGAACCAGTGTCCTCAGTTCATTTTCCAGGTTTGGGCCCAAGTTGTTATGATTATAGCAGATTTTATGTGTTAGGAAATACACTTAATTTAGATGTTCTGTCCTCCACTGCTACATACGTGAGAGGGTCAGAATATTAGGAACACCTCTGCATATAATGTAGTCCAGTACAACACCACCTTTAACTGTGACCTCAATGATAATCATATACTTGAATTTATACATTTCACCAAAAGCTGAAATATTTTGAGCTTCATAAACTATTAATGTGGCCGGTCAGTCTATTCTAATGATGTTTTCATTTTACAATTAATACTGAGCATCTTTGACACAAACTTACTTCAGGATGACATAGGTTATATCTTGTCTTGTCATATCGACACAAATCAGAATTTGCAGAAAGAAATATTGCCTTATATCTGCTCCTCTTGTGAAGCAATCTGAGGATAAACAAGTACATAGTAGGTGACTCTGGGTCATTTCTCATTTTTAACAGCAGAACAGACACAATCAACTCATGCAAAGTATTTAATAGCTTTCCCCTGTGTTGCTTATGTACATGTGGAGTGTGAAATAAGCCTGAAAGCTTTTCAAATGGATTGGTCTGAGTGTTTGTTTAGTTTTATTTTCCTGTAGTTAAAATCATTGTTTCATTCAACTGTTAACTGCCTCCTATCACAGTGGAGCTGGTGAAATTTGATTTTGTTTGCATGAGGGCTCTTCTATTTATTTTCTCCTGATTGCATTTAAATGTGCCGAGTGGCTGCCCTTTATATATAATGATGCCATTTGTTTTGAATACCGGAGTAGTGTGACCCTCAGTCACCTGTAAATGCATGGAAAATGGAGGGTGTTGTGATTGACAGCAAGTGGTTATCTTTTACTGATACACAGTGAAGAAATATCTACATAGTCAGCCTAAAATATAATCACTCTTAACACTAGGCCATTAGCTGAAAGGTGAATGTTGTGCCAACACAAATATGTGCAAATGTATTCAAATTTAACCAGGGTGAGTTGTCAGAGATATGCTTGCAATATACAAGTGAACCAGCAGGTGGCAGTATGTAGCCACAAATGTACACCGCTCCCAAACCACTGCTGTCATGACCGAACAAGCTTCTAACTTGTAATTTCAGTGTAGGAATGCTTAGTACACTGAAAGCATACTGGCATGTTTAATCAGCGTGTTGGGGAGGGAGTCACGCTTTCTGTGGCCCCATTCCATCAGCTTAATGGTGTGTTTGCTATTGCATTCATTCTCATTTACATGGCCCATATACCCTTTGTAATGTATGGCTAATTGTTGTGTTCAGTCAATAAAACCCCTGAACATTTGCATCATGTTCCTCGCAAGTGAATGTTCTGATTTTTAGTGTCGGCTAATGTGTTTTGAAATGATTTTGTTGCACGACAAGTAATGTTTTGATCATGAATCTGGTGGAGACGGGTCACTCTAGAGCTGCAAACACAGCAGTTTGCTGTTTGTCTTGTCCATAAAAGGAACAGACGAATATAACTACAGCAAGGCCATAATGCTGACATTATTACTGATACAGTTTGCACCGATGGCTGGTCTGAGCTGTACCCTATCAAAGGGAGAGGGACCATGTACCATGCCAGTTTACTGTACTGTAGATTCAGTGTTTTTAAGATTTGTGCAAGCGAAAAGTGAAGCAGTGCACATACAGCAGTGGCAACATTTGAAAACAGTGGCAGAAGGTAACTGAGTAAAAATACATCTGCTTATGTACTTGAGGACAATTTTGAGGTACTTTACTTGAGCATTTTCATTTTAGGCTACTTTATACCTCTGCTTCACTACATTTTACATTTTTATTGAGCTACATTTATTTGACACCTACAGTTACTGCTTACTTTGCAGATTCAGACATTGTATAAAAAGCCAAGATCTGCTTATTAAACATATACAGGTATATCAGTTTATAAAGTATTTAAATTCGGTCCACTTACAACATTTATTTGCTGATAAAACATTTGCACTACAACATAAATAAGATGCCAAATATAATAGCAGATCTGGAAAATTTTGGGAGGGGTGGCCAGGCTGGTGCACAAACTCAGGGAAGGGTGGTGCATTTGAAAAACATGTAAAGCCCTAATTCTATGAAATAATACACCATACATTATTAAGAATCCAATTTTTATTTTTTATTTTATTTGTGTGTGTGTGTGTGTAAAAATGAGACACACAGTTCTTTTTCAGTTGTATTCCTTATTTACTCCTGGCCTGGGACATCGCTGCTGCACAGTGGTGTGCTGGCTGCCGGTGCCACCCCTGGCCATCCTGTCCCCTGCGTCCACCCATGGCTAAATACAGGACTTACCATTGCAGGAAGTGCACAGCTTCAACAAATCACCTACTAAGATGAGGTGATCCAAAGTGAACAGGACTGAGGAACCAGGGCTACTTACTGTCAAGTCATCCAGAATTTATGGGGCGTTACAGTGGGATCCCTGTCTACAGGGTGCTTTGTCAGGGCATCATGGACCAGGGTCAGCACCCCATCCCAAGAAGCAATCTCCGATATTTATGCCTTGACATCAAGCGTCATGCTGGGCCATGATTCCCAATGTCAGGGAATGCATTTCAGCAGTGCTTAAAGAAACAAATAGCGGCCATGGTGACATTATTAATCCGGACACACTGGCACGGACCAATACATCTCTGCCTGCTGTATGATGTATTGGAATGAGCAGAAGACAGAGATGGACTTTTTCATTGGCATCTCGTTTGATGAATAAAACATCAGTATGGGTTGGGACAGAACTGAATTTTTGAATACAAGAGCAGAAATGGTTATGGGTCACAGAACATGCTGGACTTGTCTCACACAGCTTTGTGGTTGTTCAACATGTGCTAATTGCCAGTGGTTATACTGTAAACTACACACAACCTGTCCATGTCTTTGAGAGCAAAATGCTTTCTTACAGTACACCTCTCCCCTGATCATTGTCACACACCAATTAAGAGTAGAGAAGAGAGCACATTGCTTCTATTCCCTAATGTATTCTGGTTTTGAACATGCCTCCCAAAGGACAAACCTCTAGTCAGTCTGATAACTAAGCCCAACTTTGGGATACATCCTTATTAACCACATGTACCGGATTTCATACCCCATGCTTATAAATTATATTTGTACATGAAGGAACAAGATGCCAATATGCTTAGCTGCGTGTGTGTGCTTTTTGGCAGTGTGGCATTATGAAGAGTCAACAGTCACCACAAATGACATTTCTGCGGTGAAACTGTATACTGCATTTGGACCACAGAGTGAATGTAAAATATACACGAAATAGTCTTTGTAGCAGCCATTTACCAATGTGTACCATTTATTTTCAGTGAAAATGTCTGGGGTTTGAATTCACCCTTGTGGCGAGACTGTATAGTCTTACCCATCTATCGTGGTGATAAACTAGGCTGACACTGGTTGGTGCAGCTGAATGCCAGCTCAGTGACCAGACTCATGTATAACTTGGCCTTCTGAGGAACACTGACTTGATGTGTATATTAAGCA